TTGATTATGTGCACTACGTTTAACCCAAAAATAAATATGAGATACATAAGTAGTTGCACAGAATCAAGCCACCAAGTATTATTGGGAATCTTTAATAAATTTGATTCACAACATACGAAAGTTTAATGTATGTTTTCTTTTCGAATCAAGATTTTATTTCGGGCAATCTCTCATGAGGTGACCTAACTTTTTACAGAAATAATACCTCATTTCTTTAATGATTGGACCTTCAAAAACTTTAAGTAAGCCAATCTACTTTTATTTGCCTTTGTGTTCCCATTTTATTTTACTATTATTGGCTCACACATGAGATATAAGTGAATCGACTCTTCTTTCATCTCATTTATTCTCGCCTCTTCCTGCACCAGCATAGCCTTAATTTCCTTACAGTCCTATTTATCTTTAATGGTGTTATAGTTCACCTAGGATTGACCAAATTCGACATGTAGGGAGTTCATGATGAATATAACCATATATGAGTCTATCACATTCATTCTCATGTTTGTAAGTTTAGCTTATATGTTGAACATGTTTGGTCACGAGATTATAGATGGAGCGGAATCGGTCGAACTTTTATAGTGGTGAGCTCGCTCATAAAACTTTCCACAATAGACTTCTCCCGCAATTTTATATGGAGATAACTCCTTGATTTTTATTTAGGAATTCTTTTGTATTATTAGCCTTAATGTTATCCGCCTTGATTAACTTCATAAAATTCAAACACAACCTATTTGATCGCACACATACCCTACGTAGAGTTACCTCAACTTCGGAGCTCTCATCAGTAATGGTTGTGAGAACTTCTTCAGTAATTAGAGTCATACCCAAATTCATTGAACCCAATTGAAATTGGATATGCTTATACCATTCATTGAAGTTCAGCCAATTGAATTTTTTGTTAACTATAATACAGTATGGATAACAAAATTTTGAACGCTGCAAACTTTAATACATGCTAATAGTTAAGCTTTGAGAGACAATTAATGGATTCATAAATCTTTTAAATTATATATTTAAATATACCTTTGGGCAAATACTTAAATATATAATATACTTGATTGATGCCTAAGAGGAAAGATCTTTAATAGAAATTATAGGTATTGTGATTAATTAGTGGTTATCTTTGGACAAACACACTAATTAACCTAACTTTAATATAATTTCTCTTTTATTGTCATATATTACAAACCATGGCCCACCTTTGGGTGTCCTCCTAGTTTATAATCTATAACATCAATTATTCAAATATTATAATATTAGGGTACATTAATAAGACATCGTCTTATATTTGAATAATTGATACTTTTATCTAATTTAATTATCTATTCCATAAATTAAACTAGGCCACTTTGGTGACTAACTAGTTTCTTACATAGATAATATAATTAGATAATATTTTATTTTAACAATATTTCATCTAATTTAATTATCTATTCCATAAATTAAACTAGGCCACTTTGGTGACTAACTAGTTTCTTTACATAGATAATATAATTAGAAATTATTTTATTTGATCATATTATGAGATATCCATACTTTCATTAATCTCTGCAATTAGTCTTACCAAAATACCGTTCGAATATAATCTCAGTCTCATAATTAGCTTTTCATGATCAAAGATATAAGTTCTTCAATAAATAATTCCAAGAATTCAATTGCTGGCCACATTCAGTATATAATTCAATTCAAGAATCCAATTAGAGAGAATGGCTTTGAGTCCAGCAAATAAATCACGAATTCAAGGGATTAATAAAAGTATGTAATAGCAGAGATTAATGTTTTACTATAATGAACAATATCAATTCGTGGCAGCATACAAAAGGCAAATAAATCACAATCAAGTTTATCTCCCAAGTCCAGCAAATATCACAATTGTTCAGCAATAATTTCGAGGTTTTCGGGTGCTTCGCAGCAACTATAATCGGATCGACATATCACAATGCAAAAGCAATTCACACCGGAATGCAATACAAATTTAATTGGCAAAATAATCATGCATAAACACATGCTCTGATACCACATGTAAGAAATTTAACGGGCATACTCATAAAAATTAAGCGGAATTGAATAAACCCTACATATGTAATTCTATCAATTCATAGAATATGGATCTTTGCATAAATTAAATTGCACATAGAACTTACAAGAATCCAGCTTATAGTCCTTCCCTGTTTTCTTGATCTATGATGTTGATCTGCGTTCTCTTCCTCTTCGTAATCTCATGGATCTATCTATGTTTCTCATAATCTCCAATGATGGATTCGCCTTTCCCTATGAATTGTTTCTCTCTCCCGTGTCTCTCGTCTTTTCATAAAGCCCTTGATGTTGAGAACTCTATTTTCGTATGAGATGGGAGAGAGGGACATGTAGTATATATAGGAGGAGTCCTACAAACCTATTCCTACTAACATTCCCCATGTTCTAACCTAACTTAACGTCCAAGTCAAACATCACAAATTGGACTCTTTAATATTAGAACATTAATAATCTATTAAATACATATTCACCTTAATTAAGTTTGACTATTAATTCAATTAGGTCCAACTAATTATATGGTCCACAATAATAGAATAATATAAAATATTATTACACGTTAAAGATACTGGGAGATTGAATGTAAATTGAAATTTGTCTTGAAAATTACCTCCAAGCCATATTTTACTTATTTTAAAATTGAGAAGAAAATTTGAAATAATTTATTGTAGTTGTTACATGTGTTAGATTTACATGTTCATTTTTTTCTATGTCATGTTTTGTAGGCGTGGTGGCTCTTTGTGGAATGTGAAAGGTTCCACGAGGCATTAACTTTTGTAGGATTAATGAATTTCCTTTGTAATCTACTCATTAGCTTTTTCATGAAATTGTATTTTCTTTGTTCAAATGAGACATTTGTGTCTTATATTTTGTCTAGTTTATTTCGAACTTGCATGTCACAAGTCTCTTTTTTGTTTTAAGAAAAAATATATAAATTAAATCGTTTCAATAAAAGGAAAAATAAAAAAAGTCTTTGGAGCATCATTTTTACCTTGGGCCCTGGGCCTAAAAAATGTGCAGGATCGACCCGATTATAGTAATACATCCGTCATTACTGTATGAGTTCTTGAAGGTTGTCTTATTATATTTCAAATTATTATTTTTTTCATTTATGCAATGTATGTATTATTAAATTAATACATTTATCAATAATATTTAAGACGTTTTTATGTTATTTTTCTTTACGTTATATATTCATTTTAATAATATTTCATCTTCATTTTGTGTTTTATCTATTTACTCAGAAATAAATAAATTTATTCTATTTGTAAAATAAATGATTACATTAGAAAAATAAATGTTCAAAGTCTTTGTACAAATACGTGACAATGAAAAATTTGAGTATGGCATGACTAAGCGGGCGTGTTAATGAAGTTAATTAAAGGATCAAGGACTTGTCAAAAATATTATTATGTTCGTGATCAATTTTGTAAAAGTAATATTTTTCAACTGTGATTTACAAAATGGATTTTTTTTAAATAAATGTAGTAAGTTTTTGTAATGACATCCTCTGACAAAATTCTTTTGCAACATTAGTCATATTTAGTTGTTACCAAATACGCAGTTGCTACCAAAAATGTAAATTTCACTAAACAAAGCATTATCTGTTATCTGTTACTATTATCCGTTTACATAATCACAGACACTGCACACTTAATTTTAGTCCTTTTGGAAACTCAACGTAAGGAAATGCAATGGGATGATCTCCTTCTTCGACTTTCCACCTGTAAATAAATGGATATGATCGATACCAAAACAATACAAAAATTGTTACATTCATCAGCATTGCATTAATTTTAAATTTTTAATATCATTGTTATTATTTTTTGTTATATAGTTAATGTATATCTCCTGCATAAAAAATAAAATTATTATAATGATTTTATTTTCTTGAAAAAAATAAAATTATGGGTGCTTAGGCCCCCGACTACTAAATCAAGACGTGACAAACTTTGCAACCGTCTAAGTGCCTCTCAGTCAGTCTAAACACGATTAATTTTGCAATCGTCTAAGCGCCGCCTAATCCGCCTAGACGCCGTTGGAACACTTAGAATGACTATCAAAATAAAATTCTGAGTTCAATTTTTTTTTTTTTTTTTACAAAAAAAATATGTTTGAAGTTCGAAGGTAAAAATTTATATTAGAATATTCATTAATGATTATTTCAATGTTACGTTATATTATAGGAAATTTTAACAAAAATGAATACAAAATTATTAAGTTTGATTTGAATTTCTATTAGAAATTTCGTTATAATACTCAATTTTTTGAAATGATCAATTATTTAAACAAACAAAAAGATAAAAATTGGTAGGAAAATTATCGTTGGAACATGTTAGAATATCACTTGTGAGTTGTCCCACATTGATTTTACAGGGAAATGAGTCTAGTATATAAGTTTAGTGGGCTACTCCTATCATCAACAATTGGTTTTGGGCTAGAACCTCACTAATTAAGGTGCACCTAGGCTACTCCTCTTATGGTGCGCTTCATCTGGTAGGACTGCACTCTCTTCTCTCGATTTTATAAAATTTAACTGAACATTTCAAAAATTCTAAACGAAATTTGTTTCCAACAATTTTTTTTTTTTTTTATGAAATTATATTGAAATTTTTCAACATATCACACTATAACATTGAAAAAAAAAATATTAGGTACTCACAATTGATTTTCGTACCTTAAACTTCATTTGGGGCAAAGGGTATGGAATTCCGATCCTCATTTGAAAGATACTATTATCATCTTTGGAAGACCATTATATCCCTCTAGAAGTGTATTTTTCTTTCGTCAAAGAATTTATGGCTGATTGAACTAATATTCTTACATTTTAGTCTTAATAAAAAAGTTAATAACTTATAAATCATAATCCCCAACCCACCGTCCGAACCTTAATTACCAATCCAATTTCGTACACCCGAAAGGAGTGAAAAATAAAATAAAATAGAATAAAATAAAAAACTTAATTACCTATATTTTTGTAGGAGGCGATGGAGGAAAAAAGCAACCTCAACTTTAGCTAGTTCAAAACCAGGGCAGTACCTGGACCCTCCCCCAAATGGAGTAAATGTCTTGCCCGCTTCATCTTCTTTCTAAATTGGTACATAAATTGCTACTAAATTAGAATTTAGTATAATAAGATAATGAGAAATCACGGATTTAGCCCAATTGGTTGGGCCATGTAATTAAAAAGAGGCAAAACTGCAAGATATATTCAATAACTTTGAGTTTATGATAATTTCGTCCAATACTTTTAAGGAGAATGCAATAGTATATAAAATTAATTAATTGTGCTCAAGTTACCTGCCATCTCCAAGGATTAAAATCGAGGGGATTCACATGAAAAGAAGGATCGAGATGAACGGCGGAGAAGATAGGTAGGACCTTCCATCCCGATGGTATTATGTGATCTGGGCCAAAATTGTAATTAACATATATAATACACACAATACTAGTTTGAACAATAGTACGTATAATCGCCGAAATAAATAAATCTATTACTATATAAATAAGAGACTCTTGTTCAATTTGTTATAATAATTGTTTACCTTTGAATTTAACATCTTGGATTGCCCTTCGGTGGACAAATTTAACAATGTTACCTAATCTCAAGGCTTCATTTATAACCTGTGCTAGAAAGGTCCACAAAATTATTAATATTAATCTAGTGACATAATGATTAGATTAGCAGCTTCATCCATAGTCAAAAACAGGAAAAGGCCTTACGTTGTGTGTGAATTCCATAGCTTTATAATGGTTCCAGTTGAGTAATTCATCCTTTTTCTTCATGCTTCTTATTGTCTCGTGCTCTAGCTACAAAATTATGCTAAGTTATAGAAATTTTCCACGGGTTTGTTNCAACAGTAGGGAAGTGGTCTCGTAGCCCCCAAGTAGAGAATCCAACACAAAACTAACTTTCTCAGCTTCCGTCAAAGAGTCGACATTCAAAAGTATCTTAAGGAAATCATCACTCATTTCGCAACAATTTCCCGCATTTTTTCTTCTATCATCTATGATTGCCTTGACGCGTGAAGATATTCTACGTCTTGCCTAAAAATTATTTTAAAAAAAAAAAAAAAGCATCATACTACCATGACTATATATAAATTAAATAGTATCTTACATATATAACTGATTTGCAAATTTGCAAAATATGCCCGGTAATTTGGAGCATATAGCAATTTTGCCTAATAACTTTTGTAATTGTAGAATATGTCCGGGTATATGTAAATGGAGAACCTGAATGGCCCTTGCATATGCAGTCCCAGGGATGTAAATGGGTAGAGAAATCAATCCTCTCGTGAAAGTGAGAAAATCTTGAAGAATTTCACTTGTGCATTGCTCATCTGCCCTTAAACCAAGTACTTGCTTCACAATTACATTGAATGTGTACTGAAAGCAGAAACAAAACAAATAAATATATAAATAAATTCTAAAAAAAATAATGCACATACTTTTTCTTAACAAAAATGCACACTTGTGTAATATATGAAATATCATACTTTTCGTTTAAATTTGAAAGTATACAAATCTGTTGAAAAATTATAACTCTCATAGATTTTAGTGAAATTCAAAAAATTGACCTTTTTGGCCTCCTCTGAAAACATGACCTGGCTCTTATCTTTCCAAGAATCGAGTACTCGTGCCGCATTTCTCTCGATATCGTTCAAAAAGTCGGGTTTGGATTTGATATTGGTGACGAGCGAGACAGCAACATTCCTGAGCCTTTTGTGGGTCTCCCCCACGGCCACCAGCAAAGATCTCTGGCCAAGGACTTGATGTACATTTTTCGGGTAGCTGCACTCGAAATATCGCCCTTCGTTTTGTAATACGTAGTGATTCAGCTCTTTGTCGCACGAGATTACAGTCGGTGAGAAAAACAGATGGGATTTGAACACCTTTCCGTATCTATGTATATGCATATATACTTGCATTAATCGTATATACTCTTTAAACTCCATAATAAAAAAAACAAAAACAAAAACAAAAACAAAACGTATTTGTAATTTCTCACCTAGAACAATGGTTTTGCAAAAAAGCTCCGGAAGAGGTTGAAGGATGAGGCTTAAGATATGAAAGGGTCTCCCCAATAATCGGCCAGCCGAAGGACCCTTTCGGAATGCGACTATCTCTCATTAACAATAGCAATGGCATGAAATGGTGAAGTGTCAATAAACCCAACAAAATAACCAGAAAAATCAAGGCAATCCAATATCCTTCACCTGCTGTGACTGACATTTCTTCTGATTAATTTTTCTTTTCCCAATTGTCAATTGAAAATCAAAGCAGGCCTAAAAAGAAGTACCTTAATTGTGGGAACAAATGTTGTCTCCCCATGACTGCCTATATATAGGGAGAAAGATTCAACTATAAAAGCAAGGAATAAAAAATAAAAAATCAAAGGTTATATGTTACGGTTGGTCATGAAAATACCTTTATGTGTACGTAACATTATTTGTTGTTGTGTCAATGTTTAAATTGTAGGTGAATTTGATTTTTATCATAACATGACTTAAGAATTAGGCTGACTTGAGCAAGTTTAATTGGGGTTGACGCGTGCATGTGAACAGTACATAGACATGCATGTTTCGACAGCACCTGCTGACATTTTGGGTTTGTCAAACTTATTGAGTAGCATTCATGAAAATAATCATAACTAAACCTTTTTTTTTTTTTTTTTTCTAATTGGTATTATTTTATTAACATTGAATTGCATTAGGACATATTAATTCGCGCATTGTTATTAATTCTATCGTTATCTCCCACGATAAAAGTGCCGACATTTTATGCATGTCTATGTATTTTCATATTTTCATATTTTGTCAATCTTTGCAATCACGTTTTCTAAAAGCTCATGTAAACCTTTTCGCATGAAAGTAACGAAATTGGTACACGTCGTTATGAAGATTGTGGTTGTTACTAATGACAAGATTTATTAAGAACTTAAATTTCATATTACATTATTTTTATCTCATATGAAGATTGTGTTGTATCACGTACTTTTGACTAGATTTATTAACTTAAATGGAATATCATATTCTTTATCTCGTGATCTGCGTATGCAGTTCAAATTTACTAACCAAAGTTTTTTAAATTGGATCATCTTGCAGTCAAGTTATTAGTCTGATGGTTCGCTGATAACAAAGATATTTATTTTTTTATATATTTAAATGTTTATAGTATTTTACCTAATAAATTTTATATGAAATAATATTATTTAGATAATTTTAAACATTCAAATGTCTAAATTGATTGCCATTATAATTTTTGCATATCCAAAAATATAAATATACATTTTATTTATATTAAAATTAATTTTAGAGTTTAGAAAAAAATCAAAAATAAAGAAGTGTTAATGATTGATTTTTAACCGATCCTGACCAGTTTTGACATACGGTAATGGTCAAGGACAGGCTCTTGAGTCTTGACTAGTTCTTTGCGTTGACTTTTTTAAGAGAATTATAGGTCAAAAAATGTGCGCCTTTTATATATTTAATAGTGTAGGTTTATATGCTTAATTTATTCGCACATTTATACTTTTTGACTTACTTATTATTTAGATAAATTTATGTATATTAATATTTTTTTATGTATTTTTAGCAATTTCAAAAATATTCAGAGATGTCAAAGGATTGCACCCGTAATGTTGAATAATCGGTAAAGAAGTATTTGGGCCCAAAATAAAGTGCAATCATTTGGGCCCAAAAGAAATCAAACCGTTAAGGGCCATACGAAAATTAGAAAAAGGAGCCTGGATACATGTTTTGGTTTTGGAGCAGAAAGGAATTAATTATAGAGAGTGTGGCACTTGCACAGAGGGAGATTTTATTTTCTCTCTTTTATTTAGTATTTAATTTTATTAATATGTTAGGTTAGTATGTGTATTCAGTTTGAGGGAATGTTTGAACTCTAATTTCAATTTGTCTATGTATTGAATTATTTATATTTATCGTTGGTTTATATATCGTATTTATTTTGTTGATGAGTTGATTCATGTTATCTAGGTTTGATGTTTATGAATTATGGATGTTTGATTTAGTTTGGTCAACTACGATAAATATTCATAGCTTATTTGCTAGAGACGAGGCTTTAATCTGTAATTGTTATTGTTCTTGTTCGTTAGTTATAAATTAGGAGTCGTGCATCTCTAGGCTAGCATGAACATAAGTTAAATGGTCCGAGCTTTTGCGTTCATTGGTTAGACTAATCTATTTTCCTAGAAATTAATGTGCTAGTGAATTAAATATAGAAGAGCCTATTTCAATTGAATAATCAGTAAGGGGAAATTCGGTTAACAGAGCTTGTTGTTAATTACGGTTGGTAATTCATTAGCAATTTAGAGAAAGCGTCGATATTAATTAATGATAAATTTAGATTGAGTGATAACTAAATCGAAAACTGGATTTCTCTTTTTTTTTTTTAATCTTTATTTCGTTTGTTATTTTTATTTTTATTAAATCAATCCCCTTATCTTTTTATTGCTTTCGTAGTTTTAATTCTATTAATACAAGAATAATCACAATTTAATTCTTGCTCCTCGTGGGATCGACCCTTACTTGCCGCTACTACTAGTTAGTGGAAGTTTGTTGAGGAAAACATTATTTGTCGTGTCGCGACGCGCGATCAGAGAGTCAAACCCGTCAAATCCGAATTTAACAATTATGATAGTAACACTCTCAATGAGCTATACCATTAAAATCATAAAATCGATGTAATTGATATGAACACAAATTTACTTATATAAGAAACGAAGGTCG